AAAAATAACATGCAGAGCTTTTAACTTTAAAAATCAAGTCAATTAAAATACGCGACCATGGTTTCGACCTGACGTTCTCTTCGGGGGATACTTTTAAAATGGCTACTTTAACGCTTTATTTCAAAAAACCACAAAGAACACTACATCTACATAATTATCTTTTTAAAAAAAGGCTCACGACGATTGAAAGCCAGGACATTGAGGGTAATGGAAACGAAGGGGGAAAGAAGGTTGAATAAAAAAAATGAAAAGAAACGGGAATGGAAGTATATTGTCGATGTATATAGTAAAGAGGGAAAGCAAATATGTAACTTAATTATTATGGTGGTTGGAGAGGCTAGCGTGTCTAAAGAGTAACAGAGGAGTTTTAAATTTGATTTTTTTAACCGGCTTCATATTTACTTATTATCTTTTATTTATATATGTGTATGTGTGTGTGTGAATTTTTGAAAGTGATTTTAAGCGTCGAGTAAATATTCATAATTAATTTTAGAAACTTTTTATACAATACTGCAGTATTATGAACATGACAGGTAGAATTACTTCTAAAGCAATAAGAGATTTAATAAATACAAAACAAAATAATAACAAACTAATAATACTAATAACAACTTAATAATAGTAATATTTTGTTTTGTCAGAAATCTATTTCTGGTAATATTTTTCCTTCAAAAATGTATTGCTGGTAATAATTTTTATCAAAAAAGTATTGCTGGTAATATTTTTTCCTCAAAAATGTATAGCAGGTAATATTTTTTTTTCAAAAATGAATTGCTGGTAATAGTTTTTTTTCTTCAAACATTTCAAAAATATTTCTGGTATTAAAACCTATTTTTACACTTTCATAGTGTTTTTACCCCAATTTGGGGGTTAACTATTTGCCCATAGCTGGGACCCTAACAGGTGCTACCACACCGGGTCAAGGTGAACCTAGGAACATCAGCAATTAAGAGGTGGTTCCACGCTCCTCAAAGCCTTCTGATCAGAGGCCTTGCTGCTGGACGTAGTTTATTGTCTAACCCAGGACGCGGGTGTAGTTTATCGTCATACCCAGGATGGTAAAGAAGAGAAAGTAAATAAGGTGAAAATGCATTGAAAGTGTAATGATTTATGAGGTTTTTACAATAAATTCACATCCAGGTTGATGCAGCATTTCACATTTCTTAACGCATCCTTGATATAACGATAAACTACATGCGGCAGCAAGGGCTTCTTATCGGGGTACTGGAGGTTTTCAGGAATGTGGGACCATCTTTTAACTACTGTTGTTCCTAGGTTCACCCTGATCCTGGATGGTAGCACCTGTTAGGGTCCAAGCCATGGACAAATAGTCAACTACCAAACAAAAATCAATAGTACATTTTTATAGTAAAATAACCAACATTACATTTTTATTAAAAAAATGACAATCAATACAACACTAAAAATATATATATAAATACATTTTTTATAGGAAAATTACCAACAATACATTTTGTTGCGAAATTATAAGAAATACTTTAAAAAATTACCAATAATACATTTTATAATCTACAAACTATATATCTACAAATATACCTATACCCTGTAAGTATAAAATTATGTAGAGAATATATGTAATTGAAAGCATAAGATTATGTTAGATTTCAGTATTAAATAATGCATAGATGTGTTCATATGCCACTAAACAAAATCAAGCAACCAATCTTTCTTAAAACAAAATCATGTATATTAAAATCAGGGATATTTAAAACAATAGCTATAAAAACAAAAACAAAAGCGGTAAGAAGCTTCTTGAGTTCGGCTAGGTTGTATATCCAAACACATCAAATGCCAAAAATTTAAAATACAAATTTAATGTTAATTTAATCTTGAGCGTATGTCATTAAAAGATTGTATATTTAGTGTATGGTAGGTGTGCTCACATGCAAACAATTAAGAAGCATACAAAACTTAGATTTCTACTACGTTTACTTTTTCCTTTTATATAAACTGTTGTGAAATAAAGTTCTCAATGTCTCTTGGATATGTCCGTTATTTTTTCTGGTCCAGAAAGTTAGGGTAAGTATAAGCATTATTACAATGGTCGAACTTAAGTCAGCCTTGCGCTGAGTTGAAACGACCAAAGAAAAGATTGTAATTAATTCATCGTTGGAGGGTTGAAGCATACTTATAATGGACCTTGCGCTGAGTTGGAACGACCAAAGAAAGGGTTGAGTTACTTCATATGTGAGGTTTTTGGAAGACATGTGCGAACGCCGTGCGTTGGAAAGCAGAAAAGAGAGTTCAGTCATCAGTCGTCCGGGTGAAAAGAGACTTTCCCAGCGAGGACGTCATTTCCACGTCCTGACATCTTGGTGCAAAGGAGAGAAAAGTAGAAAGAAAGAAAAATGTTTGTCATTTTATAGACTTAAACAGCGCCGCCTAACGAAGTCAAGTGAGATAATTATATTTCCGGTTCATTTCCTCTTAGCATCATGGGAAAATATATTTCTTTTTCTTTTTTTTTTATTATTCACTGGCAGCCATACCCAGCTGGTCGATCAAAAAAATTGTTCACTTAGAATGGAGCAAAAACAACATCATGTTTAGATGTAACAGAGTCTATCTTCAATTACTTTGAAGTACTTTCATTAAAAAAATCATTTTGAATTAATTCAGTTACTAATATAACAGAAGTAATCTGTTTTTATTCAACTATAGTTAGCCGAGGACATGAAGGAGTAAAACAGGCAACATAAAAAGCCACTTCAGACCACAATTAATTTGGAGTTTTTGAAATTCACTTTGTCAGTGTGCTACCAGGGATGTAAAACAGGATACATTTATAATGCAATTGTTAAGTTTTATGAAAATTGGTTGAAAGATCAACGAAAAATAAGAAAGAAACAAGTAAAAATCGCCATTTTTCGATATTTACGCGAGTTTTCACTATATGGGTGGACTCAATTGTCGAGTTAAATGATTGTTAAACAATCAACCTATTATTGAATACAATTGAGTGAAGTTTGTATTAGATTGCTTGAAACTGAGGGAGATTTTAGTTTAAAATTTGTGTTGAAATCGATTTTTCGTTTTTCGCGGTTTTTTGTTAAACGCAGTGGCGTAAAAATAAAACTGATGTATCGTTGAGCTCGTCATGATATAAATAACCTATAGACCGGGTTTGAACGAAATCGGAGAAAAAAATTGAATTTATCGATTTTTGATTTACGCATTTTTCTGGTCCAGAAAGTTAGGGTAATTATAAGCATTATTACAATGCTCGAGCTTAAGTCAGCCTTGCGCTGAGTTGAAACGACCAAAGAAAAGATTGTAATTAATTCATCGTTGGAGGGTTGAAGCATACTTATAATGGACCTTGCGCTGAGTTGGAACGACCAAAGAAAGGGTTGAGTTACTTCATATGTGAGGTTTTTGGAAGACATGTGCGAACGCCGTGCGTTGGAAAGCAGAAAAGAGAGTTCAGTCATCAGTCGTCCGGGTGAAAAGAGACTTTCCCGGCGAGGACGTCATTTCCACGTCCTGACATCTTGGTGCAAAGGAGAGAAAAGTAGAAAGAAAGAAAAATGTTTGTCATTTTATAGGCTTAAACAGCGCTGCCTAACGAAATCAAATGAGATAATCATATTTCCGGTTCATTTCCTCTTAGCATCATGGGAAAATATATTTCTTTTTCTTTGTTTTATTATTCACTGGCAGCCATACCCATTATTAATATTCATTATTATTCACTGGCAGCCATACCCATTTATGCATATTCATTATTAAAATTAAAATTACTATGGTAATGGCTACAGCAATTTAAAAAGGGGGGGGGGTCATAAGGGTTAATAATTTTAGGGGACATGCGTAAATTTCAAGAATTAGTTATTCCAAAAACTTCGCTTGAAGATGGAACAGAGCTTGGTACTTTAATTCAATTTAATTCAAATAATTATATATTTTATATATATAGTTTTCGGCTCTTGTTTTGAAACATAAGAACTCTTATGTAGCGAAGGAATGATATTTGTAAATAAATAATTATATTTATGCTCTGCTTTTGTATCGAGCACTATTTTTTAAAAATAATAACAAAAATACTAAGAACTTTGGATTATTTACCTAACGAGTTCTTTCCTATTTTCTATATATTTTCACACACACACACACACACACACACACACACACACACACACACACATATATATATATATATATATATATATATATATATATATATATATATATATATAAAGGGGTTTACAAAAGACAAAGACGTTAATGTGTATGTGCGGGAAGTTTGTGTTTCAAAGTATATGTGAGTGAATGTTAATGTTCGTATGTACGTGTGTGTGCGTGTGTAATGTTCATGCGTGTCCCACAAGAGGGAACGCTTTCTTCTGTGAGAGCCTACATTGTTGTAGTGTCCGCTGAAAAATGACAAGTCAAGAAGGACAAGTCAGGGTTTCGTCAAGTATATACAGTCTTGGGAGAACGCCCCCTAGGAACAATTTCAAAATTAAGGAGGAGATAACTCCGACAGACTGTTCTAGTTCCACTTATCTTATCCAGGGATATATCGTCTAGTTCTTATTTAGTATTGCTCGGTTATTGTTCACCTCGTTTCCTCTGAGTCCAAGTAGACACTGCCTGGTACAAAACTCACAATTACTATGTCACCAAATAGACGAGCCAACGGTAGACTATTAAAGACCGGAGGGCCCAACATCGGAATGCCTAAAGATGAGGACAATAGTCCACATGCAAATAATGATAACTCCTCATCCCAGAAAATTCAAACAGAAATTGTCACCCCATATATTAGACAGAGGATGATGATTTTAGAGTTCATTGACTCTCTTTCTTTCCTTCATACTTACTGTGCCTGATTCTTCGCAAACAAATAATTTTTAGTTTCATCACATCACAAAACTGAGATCCGAAAACCATTTTTTTCAAAGTAGTCGCGTGCAGAGTTCAATCGAGCAATGCGATTAAGTAAAAGCGTTTCTTCTTGTACGGTAATTACTGAGAATATGCTTATTAAACTCGCTGCTTTACAGTACTTGATGCCATTGTTTGACAAATCAGAAAAAAACACTTTTCAACACACTTTTAAGGTTCTTCCTGTATTCACGAATAATCATTCCTTGCAATCGTAATTTCGGCTTACGATTGCTTCCAGAAAGAGTCGCAGCATTTTCTATTCTACGTTATTTTTCCGCGATATGCTGTTGTACAGTTGTCTTGAGTGTTAAAAGCTGCTTAGCTGCTTTTCCAAAACTAATTCCTGATTTACAAGCGTTCAGAATTCGATGTTTTATATCTACAGACAATTCCTTCACCTTCGCTATATTGTGGTTGCTTATGATACTTGGCTTAAAGTAAGCAGTGCGCATGTGCATAACGGCAAACTTAAGTTCTTTTAAAAATTTATCTGTCACAGATAGAGCCTGAGAGACTATCTAGTCATAACATGATATGGATATCCTATGTATTATTAATTTCATAAATAGTGATATCTATTTAGAAATTCTTGATAAAATACAAAGAAGAATTTGCAATGTTACTGGTCGTGATCTGTCATTTCGGATTCAGTCTCTTTCCCACCGCCGTAGCTTCCCGGTGCCTATTCTATAAATACTTTCATGATGATTGTTCTAATTATTACCAAGATTTTATGAATTTAAGCGTAGTACTAGATTGGCGCAAAGGTCTCGACATTTTACTGTTTAAATGGTTAGATGTAACCGTAAGTTCTATGCTGACAGTTTCTTCTCTCGCACTTCCCGTTTATGAAACTCTCTCCCGGTTTTTTGTTTTCCTGTTAAGTCTGATCTTCAAAAATATAAATTCGATGTCAATCGTTATCTTCTGTTTTCTTAATTCTTGTTGTTTTGTTCTTCTCTCCTTAATAATGTTTTCTTTTTCTCATATTCTCTCGCACTCAATAACCCCTTGCGCCTTAGTGGATTTATTTTCTTACTTGTGTGAAATGCTTAAAAAAATAATAGAAATAATTTTCTATCCTGTGAATAATTGTGTCCATGATAATGTTTAATGTTGTGTTTATAAAGCTTCTGCTTTAAATTTTTTAAATTCTGAAATAGATTATAAATGTTTATTTGCCGCCTAAGCTTATATTTGTAATGCATATATTATTTTAAATGAAATTGATGGTACCGTACAAATTGGGGCCTCACAGAAATAAATTGTATTAAAATAAACCCAGAGGAACATAGAAAAGCTCTAGGAAGGGAGAGACAATGAAATCGGACATAGTTGATCAATTATGGAGAGAAAGGGGTGGTTATCAGCCCCTGTGGAATGAAGTGAAAATACTGAACAAAAAAAATCACTGGAGAGACATCTGAAAGAATCAACACATATGTTAAGTTATGGGGACCTCCTCAGTATGGCTAGGATAGAAATAAATACTATATGAAAGCTACAGCAGTGGTGAACAAAAAAAAAACTTAGAGAGTTGTGTTAAAAAGAAATGCGGTTGTTGATAAGAGTTGAAATTAATGCATGCAACATTCCACAACGCTAGCATCACTTCTTCATAGTCAGGCTATGAACTTTTCAGTATAACATCTGACTTGGAAAGAAACAATGCCGTTATTGATAAGAAGAGTTGAAATTAATGCATGCAAGATTTCACAACTCTAGAATCACTTCTTTATAGTCAGCCTATTAACTTTTCTGCATACCATCTTACCTGGAAAGAAACAATGCAGTTAATAAGAAGAGTTGAAATTAATGTATGCAAGATGTTCCAGCTCTAGAATCACGTCTTCATAGTCAGATTATGAACTTTTCAGCCCACACACGTACCTGGAAAGAAACAATGCAGATAATAATAACAGTTGAAATTAATGCATGCAAGATTTCACAGCTCTAGAATCACTTCTTCATAGCCAGCCTATGAACTTTTTCGCACATCCACTTACATGGAAAGAAACAATGCAGTTATTAATCAAAAAAAAGAGTTGAAATTGATACATGCAAGATTTTACAGCTCCAGAATCACTTCTTCATAGTCAGCCTATGAACTTTTCAGCCCACCCTCGTACCTGGAAAGAAACAATGCAGTTATTAATAAGAATTGAAATTAATGCATGCAAGTTTTCACAGCTCTAGAATTACTTCTTTATAGTCAGCCTATGAACTTTTCAGCCCATCTGTTTAACTGTTTATCCAAAATTTTGATCCTGCTATGCAATAATTAATCAAAAGCTTAAAAAAATGCCAAAAAAATTAAGCAGACTTGTTTGAATTCAACTTGTTTAAATTGAATTCTTGCTGACACAATATTCATGATTTACGAACGCGTGTCGTGTCGTCTCGTGTGTGTGTGTGTGTGTGTGTGTGTGTGTGTGTGTGTGTGTGTGTGTGTGTGTGTGTGTGTGTGTGTGCGTGTGTGTGTGTTTGTAACAATATGTCCATTATGCATAGTGGTAAAAACATACAAAACATTTCAGGATTTTAATTCAACTCCTCTCAACTTTGGTGATTGTAGGTCATTAACTTTTGGCCTTCATTTCTTTTATTAATTAATGTATCTTTCCCCGAATGTCATTCAAAAGCGCGAAAAATAACTGTCCATAGGACGCCTCGACATTGAGTAACTGTTGGCAAGATAGTTTCTTGAACTATTGCTAGTGAAACGAGTTCGATCCTCACTGGCTTCCAGACACCTTAGTCACATTTGAAGTGGCAGGGTGGGGGGTCTAACAATATTGGTTGCCAGGAGACAAGGGACACCCACCCACAACTACAATGCATTTCATCTTCATAATGAATAAATAACGTTTTCAAAAAATACATATGGAAAAGTATATTGAAAAAATATTGAATTTTTGTGTAATACATGTTCTTAGTAATTACAATGTACATGTAATAATTCATAATAGCTGGCCACTCCTCTTCGAGGATACCCGACTATTAGGGCGGCTAGCCAATCCCTATTGCAGATGCTCGCTCAGGCTCATTTGTATTTGTTCAACACCCACAGAGCCCACCTGTGGTTTATACTGCAACTATGCTGAGCAGATCTTAGTTACAGTTTCTGGGAGAGAGCGTGTTATCTAGAATGATCAACAATCTGAGACAAGGTCAATAAACTCAAACACTCGGTCACGATGACTTGTGACTTCGTGCTAGCGCAGCTATCGATGGCCCCAAGAGTTCCGTCTACTCAATTTCACCACAAGGCTTCGGTCAACCCGTGGTATGGTTTTCAGGCACTTTTCAAGGGTGCCGCACGCTGTGATAGCATCAGGAAGTTTCCTTCCTGACAAATCAACCCTGGTGAGATTCGAACCCGTGTCTTATGGTCAGAAAGCAAACGTTCTAACCACTCCATATATATGTACGGGACATATAACTGGCAATAGATACTATATTGAATCCATTGCTAGATCAGCTCGTAAGCTGGCTCAGCGTCGTCCGAAACAATTTTTCTCTCCAGAATCTATTTTACATATCTATAAGCCTACCATTCGCCCATGCTTAGAATATTGCTGCCACATAGGATCCAGTGCCCTGTTATTTATTTTAGGCTCCTTGATAAAATCCAAAGAAGAATCAACAATATTATTGGTAGCTTGGTTTCAGTCACTTTCCCATCGCCGTAAGGTTGCCTCTCTGTGCCTTTTCTATAAATACTTTCAGGGTATGTGTTCGGATGAGCTCTTTGCTATGGTACCCAGACTTTTTGAATTTAAGCGCAGTCCTAGACTAGCGTCGAGTTCTCATCAGTTCACAGCTTGAGCTGGCTAAATGTAGCCGAAAGCTTTATGCAAAAATTTTATTTTCTTGCACATTTCGCTCGTAGAACTCCGAACTTCCGGTTCCATGCTGTTCAGCCAACTTTAATCTGTAAAAATTTAAATGCAATGTCCCTCGTTAGTTACTGTCCTCCTGATTACTCTTTTTCCTTGCAGCACATTATTAACGATTCTGTTCCTAATTCTTCCACACCCTGTAACCCCTTTGTGTCTTAGTGGCTTTACTACTTCGCATTAGGTGATACCGATTTAAAAAGATACCAAATGTAAATACATCATTTTAGAATTTAATTTATTTTTTTAAATTTTAAGTAATTGGTTGATATTTTTAAATAATTTACTGCAAATTTTACACATTAAAAGATAGTTAAAAAACACAACAGAACATTGCATGCAGTCCACTACACTGAAAGCAATTGTTTGTGGTTACTAGATAATTGTGTAAATATGCCAATAAATGCTTTTGTATCCAATTCTTCTAACAATTCATTTTCAAGGGATAGAAAGATATAGGATCCACCTGAAGAGGGCCAGAGCGTACAACGGCGGAAACGTCGTGAATATGGCAATAAGATGAGGACAACGGTCCAAACAATGTAAATAATGTAAATAACTAGTACGAATTATCTCCCATGAGATAGAGTAATGCGAGCAATCGAAGCTCGCAGACTAATTAAAAGATTCGATAAGATTATCGACTACGAAAGAAACTTGTTGCAAGCACCACTCGTAGATTAAAAGCCGTGGGAACAGTATTTTGTATAGGATGAGACTATTTTGCCGGCCCCTGTAAAATAGACAAGCATGCTTTTAAGCTTATTTTAGAGACCTCGGTAAAATAGACCCTCAGGCTATTTTGCCGGTAAATATTTTTTATTATTGTGAAGGCAGGTAATGATAAAAATAACAACAGTATTTTATTTATTTTCACTATCAATTGTTAAAACATAAGTTAAAGAAATATAGAATCTCAGAATATTTTAAGCACTTCCGGCATAACAATCTCTGCAAGTTCAAAACTTTCCTTTGGCATGGTTCTCTTGCCAAAAAACTTTGGGTGCACCCTGAAGACAATAGTCACAGACCACAGAATTCATGTTGTTTAACTCCTGCCAACACTGTTCACACTGCCACTGCGCTGATTATCTCAAATATATTTTTTGTTCTAAAACACTATTTATATTTCAGTTGTGTGCCATCCGTGATACACGCGTAAGCGATCATGTATCTTTCGATACATGACTGACGAGGCAGATCTTTTCCCGCAATAGGTTGCCATTTCTTTCTGCGGTAGACCAGTTGCCGTACAAGGCTGTAGAACTCGATCTGTCCTGCTATTTAACCATAGCTAGTGGGAGAAGAAGAGGATTCATACCTTTCCGAAGGGTATTAGCATGTAAGTGAATGTAATTCGAACCGCTATCCATTACTCCACGATACCGGGACCGGTAAAATAGCCGATTTATTTTGTATCTGTAAATGACGAGTGTGAGAAAATGAAAGACAATTTCAACAACAGTTACGAATTGTGTGGGTGGTACACTCGTTTGTGTGTGTGTGTGTGTGTGTGTGTGTGTGTGTGTGTGTGTGTGTGTGTGTGTGTGCGCGAGAGAGAGAAAGGTTCAGTCACTAAGAAGAAAAATATCCCCATTATCGGAAACAAGGAATGAATGTCGATGGGTAGGAAAAAAGAGAACGATAACAAGAAGTGTCCCGTTCTTATAGTTGTTTCACAGCGCCGCCTAACGACATATTGGTGAAACTTGCAAAGCTATGTGAAGATAACCCATATAGTTGAAAGACAGAGAAACAAGCAAGATAGGTATACTAGTCTAGATGAAAAGGTATATAATACTGATTTTACATACTTAACAGTCACACTAATAACCAGTGAACTACTTATTACTAGCCAGTCATATTTATTATTTATAGTTTTTTGTTGCATTCGAATATATAGTCTTTTTACTGACATTTCAATTTGACGAGTTCACTCAGAATATTAACGAAACATTAATAATATTCAGTTGACACAAGTTCCTATATTTTTGTCACTAATTAAAAGCCATATGAAAAATAAGATCTTGCATTAAACCTTTTAAGAACGCATCGTTATCTTAAGGCAAAGACCTATAAAGACAGATACATATATCTATGTAAAGTGTACGCACAAACATGCTTACGTATCAGGTTGAGACGTAAACAATTTCCTTTCTGTTTATCAACTTTATTCTTCAAAAATTAAGTTCCATTATATTTTATTCACGTCTATATCCGCCATTACTTTCAATGACTTGTTGTCGCTTATCAGGCAGCTCTTCGATACTTTCTGAGAAAAAAAAAATTCCGCGGGTTTTGATGTGAAAAATGTTTCGACGAAAACTTGAATCTGGTTTTCAATAGAAAAAAGTTTTCCCAAAGCCTTCTGTAGCGTTCGTAAAAGGTAATAAACAGGTGAGTATGACATTGACAAGAAAGAATATTATGTTAAAAAAATTTTTTGTTTGAAATAAAATTTTCATGATTAAGCTACAGCCTTATTGATGTATCTCGCTGCTTCTCTTCCTTCGTCTTACTCCCTCGCTCTCTCTCTCTCTCTCTCTCTCTCTCTCTCTCTCTCTCTATCTATCTATCTATCTATCTATCTATCAATTTATCTATCTATCTCTCAACATATATAATAGCGCACAGTGAGAGATGATATACACACACATATATATATATATATATATAGCTATGCTACTATTGCTATATATATAAACCCCTATTGCAGACGCTCGCTCAGGCGCATTTGTGTTTTTGCTCAACATCCACAGAGCCCACCTGCAACTATGCCGAGCAGATATTTTTTACAGTTTCTGGGAGAGATCGTGTTATCTAGCGTGATCAACAATTTGAACAAGACCAGCACGCTCAGACCCTCGGCCACGATGACTTGCGACTTCATGCTAGCACAGCTATCGACGATCCTCAGGGGTTCAGTCTACCCATTTTCACTCACAAGGCTTGGCTCAGCCCGTGGTACGGTTCTCAGGCACTTTCCATAGGGATCGACCCTACCAGTTCGATAACATCAGAAGGTCTCCTTCCTGACAACTCGACCATAGTGAGATTCGAAAGATCTAAAGACAAACCTGAACGCCTAGATTACCGAGACAAAGCAAAAAGCGCTTCACAACGTTAACTCCTTTCAAAGGACACCCGAATCACAACCCATGTTTCCTGCTCATACGATCTTTAGACGATTTGAATGAAAGGAGCGGAATCAGCTTTATATAACCCATGACCATAATACACATACCTTAAAGAATCACAGGATATATATATATATATATATATATATATATATATATATATATATATATATATATATATAATTTAAATAAAACAGACCACTTTAAGGTTCCATGTAATAAATTATTTCACCATAGCCCTTTTAAAGTCTGATGATCCGCAGTCCTTTAAAAGTGCTGTGCTGAAATAATTTATTACATGGAACCTTTTTTTATTTAAATTATTTCCTCTACAAAATTTCCATTGAGCTCTCCGGATTTTATCCTCCTTAGGTTTACCCATACTGATTACCTAGTTTTTCATAAACTATATATATATATATATATATATATATATATATATATATATAGGGTGGTCCGAAAGTCTTGTCACTCCTACAAATAATTTTCTACGCCAATGCTCTGTGGGGTATTATCAAGAAGATAGATTCACATGAACGATACCAGAATACCCATTAGTTGAAGGGAAGAGCCTTTGCATTAATCAACAAAGCACAGCTTCGTAAAATATCACAGAGATATGGTGCCGCATCATTTTGTGCCATACAAACCTTCTCGATGTGTGACAGCGTTAATGAAAGTAAACAAACTGAATCCAGTACATGTGCTTTGTATTACTGTATTACTTGTTCTTCTATTATTCTCATTACATTTTTCGGACCACCCTGTATATACGTATATTGTTTTAAAAATGACGGAGCGCATTCTTTTCTTTAAAAGGAATATCTTTCGTACAACACTTCTTCAGAAAGATTCGTTGTAAAAAGACAAACATACAAGAAATAATCATGAACAGCGAAACAGAAAAGGCGCATGGTAGTAAATAAGGAGCCACGACTAAAATAAATTTATTACTAAAAAGACAATAAACCAATGTCAGTAAGCTCGTAGTGAGTATAAACAGAAGAAAATTACGACCCAGAGAACGAAGAAACTTCTCCTTCTGCTTGCACAAAGTCGGTCAATGAAGCTTCTTATGAACAGCTTCTAAAAAATGTTTAGCCGACCGAGCTTTGTGTAGTATCCTACCTAAATGCTTTGTGTGAATATTTCAAAGCACAACCCAGGTTGTTCACCAAATGGATTCCAATCGCTGACTCACAAACTGAATGAGTTACGCAGATAGTGTCGCGGCCTCCACCTTGTCTTATATGAGTAGGTACGTGCTGTCAAATCCGGGTCTGGAACCGCAAGTTGATTCGCTTCACATAATCAGCCTCACACTTAAAATGATAAATAACAGAACTGTTTTTTCAAATAGGACAAACCATCATTAGCGAAAGATGGGAACACCGGAATAATATCAAAGACAATACGCAACACTATATATATATATATATATATATATATATGTGTGTGTGTGTGTGTGTGTGTGTGTGTGTGTGTGTGTGTGTGTGTGTGTGTGTGTGTGCGCCTAGTCTAGTTAAGCGTCTATGGAGATTTTTTTTTTTTTTTTTTTATTTTTTTCTGAAAGGGTTTTGTGTATATAAAAACTGTCGTAAATTGCTAACATTTGTTTTTTTGACGACCTCATAAAGGGTTATCTGTTTTGATAGGGCATTTAAACTATTTATTAGGACTATGGATTTTAAAAATTATTTTATTGTTTGTTTGTTTTTATGCTAATTATTCAATGCAAAAATTTGATGATGTCGGCAAAAAACCGTTAACTCATGTCTATTGTTTAATAGATTTTCATTATTTAGAAACTTAATAATGTGTAGTTTTTCATGTAGGCATAAAGAGCATGGGTCATCCCAAGTTTTACAAGTTCTAGTTTTGTTTATAATTTTCCATTTTACTTTTAGTGTTTTATTCATTCAAAAATATTTAGATAGAGATGTCTGATTTCTTTTATTTATATTGTTGAAAGAGCACTTATGCTGCCTCCATCTGGCTTTAAATTCATTCTTCGTAGACCCAATGTATATCATATTAGTATTAGGACTCTCAATGGATGAGATAGTACATTGGTATACCACAGATTTAACGCAGCATTTATTTTCCAATGGGCAGTTTTCTGGGTTTCTACAATCACATAATTTTTAACTATTTTTGTCTAATTTAAGTGTAGGGTTTTTATTAATACTATTCAGGCATGGGGTTTGTTCAGGATTTTATTATTGTGTTTTTTTATTATACTTTCTAGATTTTCAGTGCAGCTGTAACTTAATTTTAGGGTGTTTTTATTAAATATTCTGCTAAGTCTACTATTGGTAGGAAAGTGTTTTTCAATTAAAGCTAGGAATTTCTGTCCTAGCTTAATACTAACCATTTGGTTGAACGGAGGGGTATACCAAATGATTTTTCTTTTCCTGTTTTTTTTTTCGGGTTAGTACAATTGTTTCTATAATTGATGTTAGCATTTTTGTATCCACTATTTTTTAGGGCAGCGCACCGTGAAATAGATATTAAGGACATCGGACTGTATAGAGATGACGGGCTCATGGTAGTGAGGAGTTTTACTAATTTTAAAATAGAGAAAATTAGAAAGATTATATTTAGTGAAATTAAAAATCTAAACTTAAAAATAACAGTCTGTACTAAATTGAAAAGGGTAAACTTCCTAGACGTAACTCTAGATTTAACAAATAACACATACCAACCTTATAAAAAAAAACAAATACTAACCCCTTATATATACACCCGAAGTCAAACCACCCTCCATCCATAATTAAACATATACTCTCATCAATAGAGAATAGAATCAGCATTAACTCCGCTAACAAAGAAATTTTCCAACAACACAGCAACTTTTATAACGCTGCCCGATTTTCTGTAACTGGAGGTTCAGCTTGACCGAAAAAAAATTGATGATTTAAATCCTCTGAGGACTTGATGATTTAAATCCTCCGAGGACTTGTCGTTATAATTAATATAAACATTAAGCCGTGCAAAAATGAATTTCTGGAAATTCAATCAAATTAAATAAGTGGGGAGTAACAGATGTGAAGCAGAATAAAGCAAAGCGCGTCCTTCTCAAAGTCAAACCACAGTCGATACCCTCCAAGGCCCATCTTTGTCATGGTCACGTGGCCGTTGATTCCGTTGAAATTTATCTGTTGATTTCAGTCTAGGACCCCCCCCCCGACACAGCAGTGTCTTACATTTACCACACAAACTGCATCCATAGCTATGGATCCTACTCTACACTATTATGTTAGATAGTAGCTGACCCTATAAGAAGGTTCATCCGCCCTTTGACAGATGTTATTTTTAATCCTGTTTGACGCCGAGCCACAATTCTCAGCAGAAAAGCCTGGTGGAGGAACTGGTTTAGTCGTCGATGACTCGACTATGTGGCAGGTATAACTATGTCACCTGACATAACAGTCTAAGAAAACAAAGGTTCAACGTTCACTCGCTGATTTCTGACCAAATATGCTGGAACAAATTTATTCTTCCAAGCATCGCCCAATTTCTCTTCTGGTGAAGGAATTACTTTCTTATTTCGAGGTTCCAGTTGTTTCCTAGCAAGTGAGGAACTCGCTTCTTTAAATAGATTTGTTCGCAATGAATTTTAATATTTTCATTATCAAATCTGAGTTGATCAAACATTGGAAAATTATTCGCATTGCATTAACCGCTTAATGTCGTTAATTTTAAATTCAGCATAAAATAAAAACTAGAATTTTAATAAGCATATACTAATTTTATTGCATTTTTATTTTCTCCTTCCAGTAATTCTGGGTAATGTATTCTACGGATAAGTAGAATTGTTAAAGTGTATTTAATACTAATTCATCGTGTGTCGGTACTCTCAAAAATTCTACCACTTAATTACACAAGAGATTTTTTTTAATCGGTATCAACCCATGCGAGGTAGTAAAGCCACTAAGTGTGGTTGTGGAAGAATTAAGAACAGAAACATTAATAATGAACGGGAAGAGGAAAGAGGAATCAGGAGGACAGTAGATAGCGATTGGCATTGCTTTTAAATTTTTGCAGATTAAAGTTGGCTCGGGAGCATGGAGCCGGAAAGACTAACTAACACAAACAACAAAAAATGCAAATTCCTTACTACAAGGTAACCAAAAAGTTCTGTCCGTTTTTAAAGGAAAAAAAGAAAACGCTTCACAGTATGTGTAACTTCGAAGTAATCGCCATCGGCATCCAGCACCTTCTGCCAACGTGTCTCCAGCTGTTCAACACCCTTGCGGTAGAACTCGGGGGGTTTTGACGCAAAGAAGTCCGTGAGGGCTTTGCGCAAGTCTGCTTCATTGGTGAAGGAAATCCCACGAAGATGATTATCCAGGGAGTGGAAGAGATGGTAATCGGATGACACAAGGTCAGGTGAATAAGGTGGATGGCACAAAGTCTCCCACCCAAGTTGCTGTATGGTATCCCTGACCACTTGCGCGACATGCGGCCTGGCGTTGTCATGGAGGAAAAGCACACCTTTGCGATTCACCAGTACTGGCTCCTTTTTTTTAATCGGTATCAACCCATGCAAGGTACTAAAGCCACTAGACACAAGTGTGGGTGTGGAAGAATTAAGAACAGAAACATTAATAATGAACGGGAAGAGGAAAAAGGAATCAGGAGGACGGTAGATAGCGATTGACATTGCTTTTAAATTTTTGCAGATTAAAGTTGGCTGGGGAGCATTAAGCCGGAAAGGAGTTTCAGAAGCAAGAAATGCGAGAAAAGAAACTGTTAGCATAGAACTTACGGCTACATCTGGCCAGCTCATCTGTACATCGATGAGACCTTGTCGCCAGTCTAGTTCTGCGCTTATATTCACAAAGTCTAGATACCATAGCAAAGAGCTCATCCGAACAATTACCATAAAAGTATTTATAGAAAAGACACGGAGAGGCAACCTTACGGCGATGGGAAAGCGACTGATCAGGACCAATAATATTGCTGATTCTTCTTTGGATCTTATCAAGGAGCTCTAGGTAAATAGCAGGGGCACCAGACCCTATGTGGCAGCAATATTCTAAGCATGGACGAATGGTAGACTTATAGATATGTAAGATAGATTCTGGAAAGAAGAATTGACTCGCACGACACAGTGAACCTACTTTCTTAGCAGCTGACCTAGCAATGGATTCAATATAGTCTTTCCACTTCATGTCAGCTGAGGACGGTTAGCCCGAGAATGCGCGACAATTCACTCTCATGCGTGTTAGCAAAGTCTAAAGGTTATTTCTATAGAACCGTGGAAAGCAGATTCCATGACAAAACCGCGAATGGTTTAATATATATGGTCTGTTCAAAAAATTTCAACCTGGAAATCAATTTCCGATTTTAAAAATGTAAATATGCTTTAAAAAAAAAATTAAGAAAAAAAAGACCCATATTTTTTCAGAAAGAACGCCCAAATTTTTACAGAAATATTTTAATCTGCAATATTCTGACAGAAGTTTCTGTAACCAAGTAATTAAAAAAAATAGTTCCATTTTACATTTTTAAAAAAAGCACCAAATATAAATGGAAATAAACAGACATAGCATCTAAATACAGGGGTCAACAACCTTTTGGAGAGAGCGGGCCAGAAAGCTATGCAGTGTCTCTGAGGAAGGCCATGATATTAAATGTACCATAATAAATTGTCTCGACCTATGACCACTCCGTCCAGAAAGCTGCCTTGGTCTGGAGGTTTAAAGAAAAAACAACGAAGTTATATTATTTAAACAAGGCTCCTTATTTTACTGCAGTATTAACAGGATAACAGCTAACTCAAACAACAAAAAATGCAAATTCATTACTGCAAACGAAATACAGTTAGAAATGGCAAATTATTTAATGAGACACTTGTTTCTGCTTATTGTTCGATAACTTCTTCACATCAGGTGAAATATTGTCGATGACAGGAACAAAACATCATCCAGGTGGTCATCACCCAACCTCGTTTTTAAACCTTTTAAGCATATTTAATTTTCGAAAAAAGTTGTTCACAAGCATATGTACTTCCAAATAATGATACAATCATTTTCCCATTATTCAATGGGTTTTTATTTTCCACGTGGCAGAACATATTTCTTGTAAAAAGTTAGCAATTGCTTCTAAATTAAATTTTGATTTTAAAAAAATCGTCTCATTGTAAGTCGATTAACTCTAAATATTTTTCTGTCACTTGTTCCACAAATGAATGAGATAATTATCGTCCAGATAATAAGTTGGCGGACTGGACAAAAATCATTCGCGGATTCATTTCAGTCCTTTTTATCCAAAAATATTGTAATCATTTTTTGGTTAATATTTATCACTCTCTATGTGTACAAAAATTTTATCTTGTCATTGAAGGTGATTCTGATCCCTAAAAAAATGTCTTTGAATTTCATAGATGTGTTGTCATATCCTGCTATGCCAACAAAAAGCAACTTTGAGTGAAACAATAAGGTTACTGGAATTGATTAATAAATTCACCGCAAGAAAGGTGATAATGCCACTAAGACACAAGGGGGTTACTTGGTATGAAAGAGAATAAGAAGACTTTTGAAAGAACCGGAAACCCAATCCTAAACATATATAATTACTTGATGTGAATTCTTTTTACTCAACAAATATTTTCAACATCACTTACATCATTTATTTTTATTGATACCATTTTCAAGAGCATTAAAGTGAATTGAACATAGATATTCTTAGTTGAGGTTTAAAAACGACAATTCCATTTCATGTGCTGCTAAAAGCTTAGTCACCAGCACCTTACACGGTAGGTTTTTAGAATTTTTTTTTTTTACATAGACAGGTTCAGTGACGTCCTCATCATCATCATTATCACGACCCCAAACAACTCATTAGGATGGTAGGGACACCATGTGTACTGCAACCGTAATAACAGCGTTGCTTCCGGTGGTGTTTCCCGTAACCCATGAACATCATTAAGGCTCCAGCTGTAGTTGGTGTGTCTGATGGAGCCCAATGCTCTCCAGGCTGGTTTTGAATTCAGAGTTTTTCTTTCTCCTAGACCGGTTTCCACCCAAGGCTATAGGACCTAGTCTGTCCTGCTATTTACCCACAGCCAGCGGGAGAGGAGATGGATTCCTACCTTTCTTAAGTATATTATCACGCCAGTTAATGCAATGAACTCAGTCGGAATACGAACACGGCTTTCCGATTCCTCAATACGCGTCTGGTTCTGGGCATGACGATAAGCTATATCCTGCAGCAAGCCCCCTGATCGGGAGATTTTGAGGAACATGGAACCACTTCTTAATTGCTACTATTTTTCAGGTCCCCCATGACACGGGGTGGTAGCACTTGTTAGGGTCCCGGCTATGGGCAGATAGTGAACACCAAAACAAAACAAAAACAAAACACTATGAAAGTATAAAAATACATTTTATAGTATTAATTCCAGCAATACATAGGTTGTGTTGGTCTTTTTTTATATAAAAATGATTTGCTGGAATTTTTACTATAAAATGTATTTTTATACTTTCAAGCTATTGATTGTAAAATGAACAACAAAATCTATTGGTAGTAAAAAAAAACAATAAAATCTATTGATAGTAAAAAGATCAACAAAACCTAATGATAGTAAAATCACCAACAAAACCTATTGATAGAAAAATGACAATTTTATAGCAAAATGAACTACAACACATTTTATTGTTAGTTGAAGACATACAAATGTGTTCAAAATGTTTAGATTTCATCATTAAATAACCCACAGAGGTGTTGATATGCCTCTAAATAAAATCAATCCGAACCGCTATCCAGGCACGGTAGAGCAATGGACGTGTGGGATTTGCTTTTTATTGGACTTGTAATGTAATTGGGAACTTGATTTTCATCAAAGGAACACGATAGCAATGAAGAGGGTTTGTCACTGTGAACACGGCAGTGCAGCTCCTAGCTGTGAAGGTCTGAACTGGTAGAAATGCAGTCTCTCTCTCTCTCTCTCTATCTCTCTCTCTCTCTCTCTCTCTCTCTCTCTACCATCAGATCTGAGTTTCTCGATGTAAACTAATACCTCCTCTGTCTTTGATTTCTGAACATACATAATGCCATTCATACAGCCTGTGTAATGTATATTATTTCTGGTTCCTATACAACTCAAGCTGCATTGGAGGAGATATTACAAACCTTCCAGGGTGTTTAGCTACAACTGTACGAGAAAAGAATGCAAAATATTTATCGTCCATGACACTTTAGCTGAAAGTGTCAGCTTGAGTTTGACCTTTTCAGTTGCCTAGCAAAAAGAACAATTGCGTGAAGATCGATTTTGATCTCTTAAGAATTTGAATGTCACTATTGTCTCACCTTTCGTAGTATCGAGATGACAATGTAAATATTGACGAAAATTAGCTTTGACTGGTTCAAGGTCAAAACGAGGGTGGCAATCTAGTGAATATGAAACTCGTGAGGAATTACATTCAAAACTAACTTGGTGTTGATCACGACTGGCACCCTGTAGATGACAAAGTAAATATTTGCCAAAATTCCCTAGGTTTGGCACAAGGTCAAAGTATTGGAGCATTCATTTAAAATCAAGCCAATTAGGAATTCATAGTAACCTAAAAAACATCTCTCTCTACGTCATGCACTCTGTAGATAATAATATAAATATTTACGAAAATTAGCTTAGTCTGAAACAAGGCTAAAATACTGAAGCGCTCGGTGAAAATCATACTCAAGAAATGCCTTCAAAACAAATTTGGTTACCAACGATCTATGGCAGACACCTCCTAGATGATAATGGAAATATTTTTTGCCAAAATTGGCTTAGTTTGGCACAAGGTCAAAAACAGTGAGGCATTCGGTGAAAACCAAACTCTTTAGGAATTTAATTTGATAAGTAATCTAATGACCAGCTCTCTACGACAGGCACCCATTAGATCTCAATGGATAGAAAGATACAATTAAAATGTTTGTCTGTCCATTAAGATCTAATGTATGCCTGCTTAGTTGGCTGAACAGAATTTAGGAGAGATAGCAAAAATACAAGCCTTACTAAGAGCTACAAAAACAGGTAGTTGTATATAGCCATGATCACCCACGTCCTGAAGGGACGTGACAAATAGAAGTGCTTCTGGCTGTAACTAATGTGTGTACAATTGAAATGAATCAAGCCACAAGGTGATTCATCAAACCGCATAATAATTGTCCATGTGTTTTATTTTTTATATATTTCCTGCCTCATCTGTAGTGGGAAGGGAAGTAAATCGACTTAAGTTAGTAAATTGATGAGCGATTACTTCCCTTAGTCGTATTAATAATTTATACAAATAAAATATTTATCTGAATTTAATCAATTAGTTTCCGAGCAAAATGAACCGTTTAATTAATCAGTCCCATTACTGCCACGTTTCTTAAATTGTAGTCTTATTTTTTAAAGCTTTTCATGTGAGACGCTCAGATACCTTTATGTATTATGTGATTGTCTTGCTTCAACTTGGTCTTGAAATAGGCTTTCGTCGTCGTGTTTGCCGTTCGGTTGCTACTCTTTTTCTTGGGACAGATATTTCTATTTCACTGTTATAATAAACAATTTTTTACAGGAAAAGACATTGAGCAAAAAGAGATGTTTTGGTTTGCTTTGCTTTGCTTTATTTTACGGCATACCGACCTAAATGGGTTATTTAATGCCGGCAAGATATTTATTATTGATAACATTTTTTTAAATATTGCTGGTAAATAAAAAATGTTTTCAAAAATGTATTGCTGGTAATAATTTTTTTTTAAATGTATTGCTTGGGGTTAACTATTTGGCTATAACTGTGACCCTAACAGGTGCTACCACCCCGGGGTCAGGGTGGACCTGGGAACAACAGCAATTAAGAAGTGGTTCGATGCTCCTCAAAACCTGTCTGATGTAATTTATCGTCATACCCAGGACGCGCAAAAAGTGATTTATATAATACCAGGAGTAGTCAATGAATCAAAGATATCATTGAATGTCTGATATAATGGGAATGCATTAATTAAATACTTCATTGGCCTCTATTTCAGTTGTGAATTCGTTATTGCCGCTTTATTGAATTTCAGTACATTGTTTCAAGAGATTTGTTTCATTGCATCTCTCTATTAAAACTTTCTAACAAGTGACGTCATTTTTTACTGCAGCGGTTCACGAGTTTTAACTAAACGGCAATTCTTTTTTCTTAGTTTTATGAAGTAATGAAGGGATACTGCTTGTACTGTGATAATATATTGAATATTTCAAACCTCCAAAAGATTAAATCAATTTTAATAGATTGCCGATAAAGGAATTAATACATAGTGCCCTGCAAAGATCAGGAATTAAAAGTCAATGCAAACATGTAGCTTTATGAGTAAACATATAATTGCTTTAATTTGTCAGTAACGCTTTTTTATTGCCCGAGTAATAAGTGTTTCTTTCTTCTCATTTTTCCATATCCGAATCTTTGGCATTGAATTTATATTTTTTCTTAAATAATTTCACCCACGCAAGGCAATAAAGCCACTAAGACGCAATGGGAGGGGGTGTTACTGAGCCTGAGAGAACATGAGAAATAAATACACTAATAAGGAGGGAGAACAATAAAAGACTAGGAATTAAGATAGAAGATAACGATTAGCATTGAATTTAAATGTTTGAAAATTGATTGGGAAGCAAAAAGTTTGATAGAAGAAACTGTTAGTATAGAACTTACGGTTACATTTAGCCATTTCAACTGTAAAATGATGAGACCTAACTGCCAATTTAGTACTGCTCTTAAATTCATAAAGTCAGCGCACTATAAAGGCAAGTTAACCAGAGCAATTACTATGAAAGTATTTATAGAAAAGATACAGGGAAGCTACATTATGGTAGTGGGAAAGTAACTGAAGCCGAGAGGCTAGGCCAGGGCCAATAACATTGCAGATTCTTCTTTGTTTATTATCTAGAATCTCTAAATACGTATAAGAAGCACCAGACCAGATATTACAGCATTATTCAATGCATGAACGAATGGTAGCCTTATAAATATGCAAAAGAAATTATGAGCTTAAGAAAGGACAATAAAAGAATTGTTGGTAATAAATTATTTTCCATCCTACAACCCCTTTCCCCACAGTTGAAACGTTGTTAGCCTCTCGCTACTCTATCGCTATTTCCACGGCAAATGTTTAGACAATGATCACATCTAGGCCCCGTTATGCCACAGACACAGAATCGAATCATGCTTATTCCCTTTGTAACCCATAGGTATGTAGGAAGTTCTAATCAGACATCTTCTTCCCCAGAACTGTGACGTTGTAGAACAGGCTCCCTAGAGGACACTTCCTCGATCATTGCAATCATAACATAAAGTCTAGAGTCAGTCATTATCTATCCTACATATATCTGTTATTCCTCCATCTTGTACGCGTTTACAGCAGCATCATTCAGTAACTTTCTACCTTGAATGGCTCTTGTGTCTTATATTGGGTGAACAACAGTATAAAAATATGCAAACATCGAATATTTTTTAAATACAGCTTATGTCAAGGTTAGCAATGGTCGTAACAGATTTTTACTCCTACTACTTGGGATGGTTATGTGAAAAGAGTTTTCCCTGTTGTTGACTCAATTCTTTCTCTGTCAGCCAAAGTGGAATGTTATTGAGGAGATATTTTTGTCAAGATCAACGCCGAATTGGTTAAGCATCTCACTTCGCACTACCTCCTTTCGAATAAACAATATGGATTCCGTTTCTCCCGGTCTACCGCCATGTGTTAATGGCTATTACTGAATTTGTCTATCAAACTTTAGATAAGAACAGTGAAGCTCGGACTGTGGCTCTAAATATCTCGACAGATTTTGGCACGACAGCCTTCTCCACAAGTTCATGGACAACGTTGTCTCTGGACGAATATTTGGCTTAATCCAATCGTTCCTAAAAAATTATTTAATGAAGGTCACGTTGAAACGACATGTTTCTAGTTATTTTAACCTTGATGCGAGGGTCACTCAGGGCTCTATCCTTGGACCTACGTTGTTTCTTATCAAAAACCTTCCCGATGATATCAGTTGTCAACTTGGTATTTATGCTGATATCGCAACTATTTTCTCCTGTCTTAGTAACAAGATCGACAGGTTTGGCAACTTCTCTCCAAAAGGACCGCAAATCAGTGGTTAACTGGGGCAAGTAATGGCGTTTTTATTTTAACGCGTCTAAAACAAAACTGAATTCATTTAATCACTGTGAATCTGTCTGCCAATAACTTCTAGGAAAACAACTCTTTGTGGCTCCTTTGGCTTACCTTTTCCACTGACATGAATATGGAATGATTATATTGAATCAATTGAAAATTAGTTCACTGTGTCGTTCCAGCGAATTTTTCGCTTCAGAATTAATCTTACACATTTATAAATTCGTCGGGCATTTAATATTGCTGCCATATCTGATCTGGGGCTCCTGCAATATATCTAGAGATTCTTCATAAAATCCAAAGAACCGTCTATAATGTAATCGATCCTGACTTGGCATCTAGACTTCAGTAATTTTCTTACCGGCGTGACGTGGCTTCCCTCTGTCTTTTCTATAAATATTTTCATGGCAGTTATCCTGATGAGTTTTCCTCCTTGGTGCCTCGACTGCCTAAAATTAAGCGTGTTACTAGATTGGCAATTAGGTCTCATCGTTTTAATGTTGAACTAGCTAAATGCAACCGTATGTTTTATTCTAATAGTTTCTTTTCTCGCAATCCCCACTCGTGAAACTCCCTTCTGATTTGTTCCTCCCGTCCCACGTACATTCTTCAAAAATTTAAATGCAAGGTCAAACGCCATGTTATATTTTCCTGAAACATGTTCTTTTATTGTCCTTTCTCCTCACTAAATTGGCACAAATTTACTGTTGATGACCATGTGATCCACTTTGTCATGCATTCACCCCAATAATATTGTTCTATATATATATATATATATATATATATATATATATATATAATTATTTATTTAAAAATATGATTCCAACTCGCGACATAAGAGGAAATATAATAACAAAAATACTAAGGAACTTTTTGGATTATTTACCTAACCAGTTCTTTCCTATTTTCTATATATTTTCACATATATATATATATATATATATATATATATATATATATATATATATATATATATATATATATATATACATACACAGAGAGGGTGTTTCAAGAGTCTATGTCACAATACGACATTGTATGTCTTAATAACTATTGAGAATATCAAAACACAATTTATATTACCTGAAAGCTAATATTTCCACGTTTCTATACAGGTTTTTACTGGTGTTCAATGTGAACGCTGCAAGTTACACGACACACATCCAAACAAACTTGTTCAACCACACCATCTGAAGTTGAGGGGCGTCCTGTTCTCTATGCCGGACAAAAACACCTCCCCTCCTTAGATTTTGCATGCCAATTCAAAATGGAACGTCTATCTGATGCCTACTTGGTAAACGTTGTATGAAATTTGCATGAACACGTGTCCATGATTTTTAGCCTATTCTAGGACACAAAATGACTTCTCTTGTTTTTGTGAATGACATTAACGGATCCGAAAAGAGACAAATAAAAATTAAATTTAAATTAACAGAAGAAAACTTGACCTGATTAGCTTTTAAAATGGTACCAGTTCAATCCTGCTACCATTTGTAGTTCATGATATAAGAGTTCTTAGAATATGACAGACTTTTGAAACACCCTGTATATATATATATATATATATATATATATATATATATATATATATATATATATATATATATATATATGTAAGCAAATATATGGATATAGATCCGACAGTATGAAGAAAAATATACGGAAAAAACAAACAAAAATCCTTATATGCAATTATGCTGTTTTAATGTTAATATAATGTCAACGTCGGACGTTTCGGTCTAATAAACCATCTTCAGGACATATTCATAAAATATAATTAATATTATCAATTCAACATGACAAAGACGATGGACATAAGAACAAGACTGATATTTATTCGTACAAAAAGTAAAATTGTGGCACGAGGCCAATAAAGTGGAGGGGTAGAGGCTGGTCAACACTAACTATCTTATACCTAGCTAATCAGATTCGCGACCCATTTGTACATTACATTTTACCCATTCACCAAAAGAACTCGTCCATCACCAAACAATCCTTCAACCACCATAATACCACGTGCTCTCAAGGGAGATCTATCAAAATCGCGCCCCATGCCATAAAAATTTTAATGATGATATATATATATACAATTCTAATAATGATAAAATGAGAGGGGAGGGAAATGAACCCAATAATAAACTTAAAATAAACACAAATACAAACTAAACATTATTGATGTTAGTAGGGACCGTCCAACCCATAAAACAGAGAGGCCGCTGTATTCTGCCCAGGGGACAAAATCAAGAGACGCTCTCGCTAAGGGAGTGGTAAAAAGTATAAAATATTAGGCCGGAATGGGAAAATATAAAAGTTGAGATGAAAGCGGGGAGTAAAAACAAACTGAGGAGGCTGGAAATCTCGACTTGGATCATAACCAAAGAACGATCGGGATGCAGGCCAGGAACAACACTTACTCACATTAACTAGGTACACTGAAGCTTGTCCAACCTAACCAAGGGGAGGGTTCCACAGGAAGCCACCCCGATGTGCAATAGGTTGACCTAGAAGAGAAAATCAAGGCTAGCCCCGTTCACACGAAGCAAGATCGCTTCTTTTACCCACCTTTCGCTAAAGACTGTCGAATGCAATCGTTTTCTATCCGATCTAATCTTCATCTTGAGCTGATGCTCAAAGAATCGAATTAGATCCGAATGAGAAAGACGATTGCCTCGCAAGACTTCCTCCTTTCGCGTCGTCCAAATCACCATTCGAGCCGTGGCCATCAGCGTCAGAAACACCATCCGTTTCATCCTGGAATACGGGGGCGACACATTGTCACACGCGTATGCACGATCAATGGACACAAGCTGTTCGGGAGCGAGACGAGCCGTCAGCTCGCCGACATGGTCCCATAAGGGGCGGACCTGGGGGCAATGGTAGAAGGCGCGCGCAGCCGTTTCTTATAAGCCAAGGCCGCCCCGTTCACAGTCTGGCAAATCCGCCAAGCCCCATATGAAAGCCTTGTCGTTGAGAGGCAGCCGATTCCGAGCCAATCGCCAGCTAAGCGAAAACTCAGAGTTACTGAGGTAATCCGCCGCTGGCGCCCAAGACCAGTAGGAGCGATACTCCTCCTCCGACAAGCCGAGCATATCTCGTAGGGGATCCTTCGCGGGCCTCTCCACTAATTCACGATAGAAGACCTTCCTAGGCCGAGAAAGGTCACTGGACCGGGGAACGGCCCTCAAGGCCGACCGACACTCGCGAAGGAAAACCGATTGATCCCGGGGTTTACGACCGCGCTCAACCCGCGAGATGGGGGGACTGATGGTAAGGCCAGGGAACGCGTCCCTAACAATCCCCTTCAGAATCGGATCTCCTCCAGTCAATGCGCGGCGTAGGAAAGCCAATCTAGAGGCACGGATGTGACTCGGCAGGTGCGGCATTCCCAGCCCCCCATGACACGGACGTTTAGTGCAGACTCGTCTGTCGACCCGATTCCCGCGTCCCCTCCATAAAATGGAGGATAGCGATCGCTCGAGTGCTTTCTTGCGGGTCTTACAGAGAGGAAGTACGGACAATCAATAAAGAATCAGGGGGAAAATGTATGTAGCACACACCTCCGCCCTGCACTTCACGGACAACCTCCGTCGATTCCAAGTCTGACCGGCGGAATCGACCTTTATCGTACTTCAGACCAATTCTTCTCCAGCTGGAGGTCAGGCCCAAACCACACTCCAAGAATGCGGACAGGACCGTCTGTCCAACCGAAGCTGCCCTGAAGAGCGACCCCCTTCCAGGCACCTAACCGCAAGCCGGACGACTTGTCGCGGTTTATTTTGGCCCCTGTCACCTTCTCGTACCGATTCAGCCGGCGAAGGAGAGGCTCCAACGCCAAAGCATAAAGGAGAGGCGACAGCGGACAACCCTGACCTAGACAGCACGAACGCGTCCGACAACTTTCCGTACACCTGTACCACCGCACTGGGGGAGAAATACAGGAGGCTAATCCAGCGGCAGAAGTTGGGTGCGAATTCAGCGGCCTGCAGGACAGCAGCAAAGTAGCGATGGTCGACCCTATCAAATGCCTTGGACTGATCCAAATTGATCAGCGCGGCTTCTTCGTCGTCTTTTACACCTTCTATGAGACTCGGCAACTGACTGCAAACGCTCCTGCAGGATCTTGGCCATAATCTTTAACTCTGTGTTTAGCAGACTTATGGGCCTGTAATTATCTAGGTTCCCCCCACCACTTTGCCCTTTTTCAACAGAGTGATCACACCCCTTGGTGATCCAGTTGGGGATGGACCCCGACCGAAACCAGTTGTTGAACACTGCAGTCAAAATTGGAACAAAGATGTGCGACAGCCTCAAGTACAATTCATAGGGCCAACCATCCAGACCGGGCGACTTGCCTCTGCCGACCTTCTTCAAAATCGCGTAGACTTCGCCTCCGTAATCTCTCCCTCGCAGCTAGCCGCTTCAGTCGGCGAAAGCCGAGGAAAGTCAGCCAAATAGCTACGAAACTCCTCCTCACGGAGACCAGGCTCCTTGGTAAACCGGTTCTCGAAATGGCGCCGAAACGCTCCCCACATGTCGTCAGTGGCCCGAAGAGTACGCCCCTCTGGGGATTTGACTTCACGAATGTAACGATCGCCACCTCGACGGACCTCTTCCCTGCGCAGATCTGCGCCCAAGTTCACGGCTTCGGAAGACATCTTGCTTAAGTTATGTCTAATTACCTGACCCATGTATCGCTATTCGATCGATTCAGGGCCTCCTTAGCTTAGGCTATCTCTAGGGGATCCCCCCCCCAGCCACCGCCCGTGAATAACTAGCTTTAAGCGTCATCACCTTTTCAGCTCTATCTAGAGCGAGCCGTTTGCTGAAATCAGTGGTGAAGGACCTAATCCTACATTTAAGGCGTTCCCACCATCTATTCCCCGATAACCGCCCCACCAGGCTCCCGCTGCACTAGTCTAATTATCTGCTCCTGGAAGTCCCGCCTGTCCAGTAAAGACAGATTGAACTTCCAGTACCCAGCCATTCTAGGCCTATTGTCTAACGCTACCCGTGCACAAACGAGTTTGTGATCCGAATAGCCTACCCAGTGGAACGTAGGGCAATCTAGTAGTTCTATGTCGGCTCTTCTCACTAACATTCTGTCAAGGCAGCTAACCACCTTGTCAAAAGGCCAATTAAGAGCCCACGTCCACATTTTTACCTCGGGATGATCGACCCGGTATCTATCGACGAGACCATAATCGTCGATCAGATCGACCAGGCTGCGATCGCCCCTCTCCCGCTAGCACCCCGCCCCCTGTCTAACTTGGGGTCCAGTATGGCATTCCAGTCCCCCATTAAAACTAGGCGCGTTGAATTCATCAGGAACGGCCCCAACCGCCGAAAGAACGAGACTCGCTCCCCCTGGTCATTGGGCGTATAAACCGCAACGACCCGGAACGGACCACTTTTCACGGCAATATCGGCCACGATCAACCGGCCCTCTGCATCGGTATGCACAAGGTCCACCTTCGCATCGAGAGTACGTCTGACAAGCAAAGAAACACCTCTGGCAAACCGGTCCCCATATGCTGAATAAACGACAAAGTCATCCTCCAGCACACACGCATCGGAACTGCAAACAAAGTGAGTCTCTTCGATCGCGGCGACATCCACATCAAAGGACATAAGAACAAGACTTATCCAAACAGATAATTGAAAGTTTTATAAGATCAGCGTTCCGTTTAAACATGGCCACGTTGTCATCACGTGGGCGACGCTGTGAAAACGTATTCCTAAAATTTGAGTATTTTGAATGAAAAATGAAAAGAATTCTATTTTGATCTAAAATTTATATGTACGCTTGTCGAGCATTAATCTCGCTAGAAAAGGGGAAATACTAAAGAAGCCAGGTCTAGTATTCACCGTGCGTAAGATGGATATTATGCCTGCTTCATAAATCCGCCTAAGATTTTTATTATGAAAATATTTTAAAATCTTCACGGAATCAATGAAGATGGTTTATTAGACCGAAACGTCCGACGTTGACATTATATTAACATTAAAACAGCATAATTGCATATAATGATTTTTGTTTGTTTTTTCCGTATATTTTTCTTCATATATATATATATATATATATATAATTATTTATTTAAAAATATGATTCCAAATCGCTACATAAGAAGTCTCATGTTTCAAAACAAGAGCCGAAAACTTCAATATAATCCATTAAATTAAATTGAGTTGAAATTAAAAAGGGCTCCGTTTCATCTTCAAGCGAATTTTTTGTTGGAATAACGTATAT